GACTGCTGACGCACTTTCAAGTGAAAACTGCCCGGAAATCGACTGTTCCCCCTTGGCGATGTTGCATTTTTTGACATTTCCTGATTGCTAGGGAAATTGGGAAGGTTTTCTGTCGAGTGAGTGTTGGTGCTAGCGCAAGCCGTTGGGGAGTTTTAGCGCTGCGAAGCCCCGCCTAAACCGTAAAGTTTCGGGCTGCCAGTGAACCGCCCTCAGACATGCCGGGAGTGAAATGCCATCAGTATCTGCGCCCATAAAACCTTCGCTAGAGCGACCGTAAATCGCTGCTTATTTATTTCGTTAGTCTGATTGGGGGGCGACAGTTTAAGACGACAATGGAGGGCCAATTTCGGATATCGATGGCACAATAATTCAGTCCTGCTGAAAGCAGAACGTCGCCGCTTTAATTCGGCCGGGAATATTTTCTGCAGGATCGAAAAAGGGGGAACTAATTGGGACCGATCCTGACATGTTGGATGGCATTCCTGCTGGCAGCCGCTTCTTCTGAGGGACCAGAGCGGCCCGCTTTTCCAAATGGGAAAAAAACACAAAAGTGCGCCAGTCAACTGAATTATACGCGATTGGGGATTTTAATTAAAACGTCCTGCAAAGGATATTCAGTCCAGGATTTAATTAAGGCAGTCTTTATCGGACGGAGAATCGTTCAATCGCCAATGTCCATCACGTGCAGCTCTAAGCACCGCAGGACGTCCGCACATTGGCCAAACGATCCGGATTTGCTTTCAATTTCCCATTGATTGAACGTCCTGGATTTGCAGCCCTTCCGGGCTTGTCCTCGCGTTGTCCCGGCCTCCGGACAGTCGGGACCGATGCCGTGTGTGTTGCAAAGGACTTGTTCTGGACGGTTGCCCCTTTGAAGGCTGCGTCTGAGGGTGGTTTTGGGCCGAAACCTGCCGGAGGTGGCCCAGTTGGAGGCCCAGGCCTCGCCGATGTGCTGGACAATTTTGAGGTTTGGGCGACCCCTGGTGGAGATTTGCCGAATTTTTAACGTCTTCGGGCCTTTTGGCTGAGGTTCACTGCAATCTTTTGGACTCACTTTCAAACCCCCCAAACATCCAAACCAGTCCAGATAGAGGCTGGGTTCTTTCGCGATATTATAGAGTCAGCTGTGCTCTATTCCTGACAGAGTTTGGGTTGCGGTGACGCTTTGGAGGAATTTTTGGCAAATTTTTGAAATCCACTTTGCCATTTGCCAGAGATTGGCGTCATTTGTGTAAACTCACTTTTAACCTCCGGCGGCATCCAACCGAAGGCAGCTGGAAAGTTCTTTCTTTTGCCATATTATAGAGCGAAATGTGCTCTATTGATGACAGAGTTTGGGTTGACGTGACTCTATGGAGGAATTTTTGGCAAATTTTTGAAATCCACTTTGCCATTTGGCAGAGATTGGCGTCATTTGTGTAGACTCACATTTAACCTCCGGCTGGATCCAACTAAACGCAGCTGGAAGGTTGGATATTTTGCGATATGGTAGAGCGAAATGTGCTCTATTGATGACATAGTTTCAGTTGACGTCACGTTTTTGAGGAATTTTTGGCAAATTTTTAAATTAACTTTGCCATTTAGCATAGATTGGCATCATTTGTGTAGACTCCCTTTTAACTTCCGGCGGCATCCAACCGAAGGCTGCTGGAAGGTTGGTTCTTTCCTAAGATTATAGAGCGATATGTGCTCTATTGATCACAGAGTTTGGGTTGACGTGACGCGATGCAGGAATTTTTCGCAAATTTTTGAAACTCACTTTGTCATTTGGCAGAGATTGGCGTCATTTGTGTAGAGTCACTTTTAACGTCCGGCGGCATCCAACCGAAGGCAGCTGAAAAGTTCTTTCTTTTGCCATATTATAGAGCGAAATGTGCTCTATTGATGAGAAAGTTTGGGTTGAGGTAACGCTTTGGAGGCATTTTTGGCAAATTTTTGAAATCCACTTTTCCATTAGGCAGAGAATGGCGTTATTTGTGTAGACTCACTTTTAACCTCCGGCGGCATCCAACCCAAGGCAGCTGGAAGGTT